TATGTTTTGTTTCAAATTTTGAAATCATTATAAGATGTAAAACGAAATCGAAATATTGCATTCTTAATACCATTGCGAAGTGCTTAGAATCTAGGTTTTTATGTCTTTTAACGGCTTGCGAAACGATCAATCGTAGCAAATGTTACGACTTGTAAACGTAGGCGGTTTAAAATTAGTATTTCAAGAATTTCGATAACATGCTAACTTTAAAAATTCATCGACGATCATACGGTAATCGAATCTACAAATTGCTTATATCATTTCAAAGCTCGTTTCGAGAACTACATTATAGGCATATCGAATAATTCAAACGGATATTGAAAATAGTTAAAGATGCGTCAAACGTATGTCTTAAAAAGAGGTGTCTAACTCGCATTTTTTAAAAAAAATTAATTATTTCATTAACATTTATTATTTTTGTAATACAAATTTCTCAATCTAATTTGCATTATTTTATTATAACATTTATTATTTTTACGATATAAATTTCTCAATGTAATTTTCATCATTTTATTAGGAAATTTTATATGGAATATGACATAAAAAAATTTCGAAATTTTACATCCGAAAAAGTCATATTCTATATAAATTTTCGGATCCAAAATTACATGGGACATGATTTTTTTGGATGTAAATTTTCGATTGTAAAATTTCTCCTAACTTTTTTGCAAGTTGGATTGTGCCCCCCTAACTTTAATTGTCTCCGTCCGCCCTTGCATCCATGTTGTAGACCATGCATGATTCGTGCATCATTACCTTCAAGCAGAAGTCCACCACGTGATCCCTGCATCTGGACTTGGTACCTTTCACGCGTTGCAAGAGCCTTCCTGATTTCCTCGTGGGTAAACGGTGCAGACCAACCGAATCTGCTGACAACCTTGGGAGCATTCCTGGTTGATTTGGGTCCGTGTGGGTTCCGACGAAGTAACCATGCTCAACAAGTTCAGCTCTAGTATTCTGAATTTGTTTAGGAACTGAACCTCCATTTTTTCCATTCCATGCCCGTAACTGTGATGCATTCCGTTTGTGTCAACGGCCATGCTTCAGCAATTGTTTCCTCATCCATAGAGGTTCGGACCGAAAAATCCTCCTCCGGTTTCGCCAATGGCTCGATGGTCTCCAGTACAGTTCAGCTTACTCTTCCTCTTTTTAGAGTACATCAGGTCCCCATGATCACATATGAAATCAGAGGTTAAAGGAAAAAAATTTCTTTTTTTTTTATTCCACATTGTCGGATCCATTTTATAAAGCATAATAGAGAAAATCTCATAGCTACAATAATTTAAGAATACAATTTCAAAATTAGCAAACTTGTAAAAAACTTTCGAAAATCAGATTGTATGTGATTGTTTGTGACCTAATTTATAGGTCACAATCACATGCTAAGTCACAATCACATAATTTACAAATTACGCTCATTTTTGAGAATCAAGTTGCGGTCACATATGTACCATCTAGTTTTTGGAAAAAGAAGAGGAGGAAGAAGTAGTAGTAGTTAATGCGTGATTAATAGAAGTAAAACTTAAAGAAAAAAAGGTTTCAGATAATTTTCTCAACATTATGTTGAGGTATTATGATTGTGTTCTTATCATCATCAATCTCTTGGCTCATGGTATTGAGTTGTCTTCGATGAACTTCCATCAATTTATGTTGTTTTTCTTCGAGGTGGTCTTTTTTTTTAATTCCCGGGTCTATCGAGGTAAAAAGGATTGTTTTTTATAAGATATTTGGTACTTTGCATTAGACATGTAGCCCATAACACGTTTATCTTTCTTCGTTCTATTGAGTTCAATATATCAAAATACCTTAATGATCAGATGACATTAAATCTTGAACCTAGCATGCTTTTTTACTGTTAATTATTATGGTAGTTAGATCTCATATTTTGGTAAACCTCATTAAGGATTTCTTAGTAAGAAAGGCATGGAAACACTTATTAAGAGAGGAAAAAAAAAGTTAGACATGTATAATAAATAACATCTATAAACACGAACTTTACTCGTGGGTTACAATGTCGTGACATGACATATTTAAAAAAACCGCCATGTTCAGTTCAACTAAAAAAGTTGATTAAAATCTAAATTAAAAACAACAATTAATTTAACCATACATTTCGCATGATTCACAACCTTTTAACCATGCATTCCATCAACTTTTATCAAAATATATTAAAATTTTGATTTTTTTATCTAAACCAAACAGGGGCTAAATAAAAATGAACCAAATTTATTTACAATTTATTTAGCCATATACTAATCAGTTTTATATCTTTTATGACATCTAGTGGCTGCTATTTAAAGAAATGATCCCTCTCTTCCTCTCAATCTCTCTGCGTGTATGTTCTTGATTTTTGTATGGAGAAATTCAGTAGATCTAAATCAAGTAGAGAGCAGATAGAGAAGTACAGCTCCTTTAATGGAGAACGTCCAACCAGCATGCAAGATCTGAGGAGTTTCAGCACTACAGCTGCTGCTTCATATGGATCATCATCAGTTCACATAACTCCTCTCCCATTACACTATCTAGATCATAATCCAGCCAAGATCAACAAACAAAAGATCAAGGATTCCTCTTCTTCAAAAACTTGGAGTTTAAACGACCCTGAGTTACAGAGGAAAAAGAGAATTGCAAGCTACAAGGCCTATTCCATGGAAGGAAAAATGAAGGGTTCTTTCAAAAAAAGCTTTAGCTGGATCAAGGAAACATGTAATCACGTGGTTCATGGATGGTGGTGATTTTACTATTGATGAAATGGTTTCACGGGATTCAAACAATTGTCTTGATGGTGGAAATATTGCTGAGAAATAGGAACCCACGTCGTCGATGAGGTTTTAAATATTAATTCTTGGGTGGTTCTTTCTTGAATTTATATACATATTTTTTGAAATTTTTTGGTGGTTTCGAAGGATTTTGGAGTTCTTAATAATCCAAGAATCCCACAATTTATAGTATTATATGTGAAATATTCAAGGTCCTTTGATGAATTGGAGTGGTGGACCACTCTTATCTGGTTATAGAAATTTGGATTTCTTGTGTTTTCCAGTTATCTGAAGTACATGATCCTCAACATATGTTCAATGGGTTTATTAAATTGATCTTAGGCAGTTGATTTATGAACCAATTCTCCACTTTTTTATCTGTCATTCTATCATTGAAGATTAGGTAATCCTGTTTTAGATAAACTAATGTAAATCAATAACTAGACAACCTATCACAGTAAATCAAATCATCACTCTTTGAATCCCGTTGTCACTGTCCTAGCAACAACTACTGGTGTTACATCCTAGACAAAATCGAATAATTAGAATTAGTTGTAAAAGCAACAGACAAACAGCAAATATCCCCCAAATCGGACTGAAAGAGAGAAGAAATAAACATAACACAACATAACATCCCAAAAGAAAGGCTAAGTGGTAAAGAAACATAAATGAGGACCATGTTTCTCGTTTAAGAAATGGCGTCTATGCCAATATATAATGGCTTGGGCCAATTTTGGTCAAGGCGACTCTAAGCTCTATGTCGGGGGTCTGTACGAGAATACACCAAAATCATTAACGACTTGGATTCAGAACAGTCTATGCTACTCAGAATCAAAAAGGCAAAACCATAACTGATAATCCTTCGAAATATAAGCTCGACCAGAAAAAAATCATCATAATTAAAATTGATTTAATGTAGAATGTCCCCTGTGGAGCAACATACAAGCCGATCACCAAATTCAGGCTACAGATTGGTGTTGTGATTGCTTCATTACAAATGGTGTCATCCCATTGTCTCGAATGTGGACATTTTCCAAATGGAAAACTAAAGATATAAAAAAACAGACACTTCGCTGCACACATGCATAAGAAAAAAAAAAAAAAAACCAAGATCTTCAGTACTTCTTCGTTATTGTGTGTTTTTTGCACAATTCTTAAATATATCGTCAGCCAGCTTTCCTTAATAGACAGAAGTACAGATTCTCCCAAGTTTATAGCTCGAATATGTACAATAAAAGGGAATGGGTGAGAAAACAATAGCTAATAATGCACCTTCTCGTCATTACCTAAGCTGAGGCTCTTCATACCCTTGAGAGTGGATTTGAAGTCCTTTATGGTTCTGGTAGAAGATGCGAGCTTGTGATCCATGGAGACTAGGGGTGAGATTTTTCGGAGTGCTCCTGGGCTTGCATTATTCCCGCCGGCAGCCAGTGGATCACGACTACTAGAAATGGCAGGTCTCCTTGAAGATCCAATGTTAGAACTAGATATCTGCACAAAGCATTAGCCAGTGTAACATGAAATTATGAACAAAATAAGCACAATCTCGTTAAATGCAAAAGAAAGCCAAGCAATTATCAAATAAATGGGGAGCCAATCAGAACCAGAGAAGATTTCACATTTCGATTCACAATCTCCTGGCCAACCTCTTCAAATCTCTAAAATGGGGCCTCTTCGAGAAACTTTACTTCAAATTTTTGACAAAATCAACGACTTTGGGGCTTTCTTCAGTTATCACAAACCTTTCGCTTTTTTCAATCAAGCATTGCAAGAATTTATCATTCATTTGCAACATGCAGTGAGTCCGACGATAATGCTTCATTTTAGTAGACGAGATGGCATACATTCGCGGACTTCAAAGTAGAAAAAGAATGGCATGGACCAAAGATGCACCGACACCCTTCATGTCGAGAAGTGTTGGACTCTTAACGAGTATCGAAGATGTTAAGTAGCGAGTTCAATTTTTTTTTTAGATCTATACGGTTACACATTTCCAACGTAATGGAAACATGCCGGGACATACATTGTCTTGGACACCAATGGGTGACACGTCCATATTATTTTTTAATTTCGTACAGTTGGATACGTTACCAACATATTGAGACACGTTCTGAATAGTGAATACATTATCGACACGGTCGAATTAACAAAAAAAAAAATTAGTTTCCAATATAAAAATAAAAATAAAATTATTTTTTGATTTTGTACAGTTGGATATGTTACCAACATACCGAGACATACATTGTCGACACGTTCTAAATACATCATCGACATGCTAGAGTTAGCAAGAAAATTTAGCTTACAATACGAAACAAAAAGGAAAAAAATAATTAATATTATTTTAATCTGTCTATCAGGGATGTGCTGGCATTTTTTTTGAAAAATTATGTATCCGTGTTTACATGTCATGTCCAACACTCATTGGTGCTTCCTAAGCATTGACCATTTCACTCGTTAAGCGTTTATTTGGGTGAGATTTTTCTTGGCGAAAAATGATTTTTTTGGAAAATATGTAATTATAAGGGAGGTAAAAGATTTTTGACCACGTGAAAAATGATATTATTATTATTATTATTATTAAGAATGTGCAATTAAAAATGGATTTGGAAAAAATGATTTAAAAAAAAACCACCCCCATACAAACTCCAAATAAGCTAAATTTGTGAATTGCTCATAACTTTAAAAAAAAGGAGTTACTTAAATGAACTTCCAATTTTACCCTTGACAATTACCACACTTCAATTTCATTTGCGAGATTTTTTCCATTTGTCCCACTCCCACAACCAAATCTTTCCACTCTTAGCCATGAGCCTATTTAAAATGGAGGTAGGGTGATAATTTCAGCTAAATTAGATTCACAATTTTCCTATTCTAAAACCTCACTAAGAAAACAAGAAAAGAATAAGCCCTAAAATTACAACAAAATCCTCAAAACCCCCAAAGTCATTCAAAAGCCAAATCCATGATAATCATAAAACAGAATAAACTACAACTCTTTGGTGTTTGAATAGTATGTGGAAGATTAAGGCAAAGGAAGTCAACTCTGCTGCTCAATCCCAAGTCACCAGCACAAAACGTGTATAAGCCATGTCATTAATCTAACGGATCACGTGATTTGACTCATCACGGAGTTCTATAACTGAACCCAATATATACTCTACCATTGCTAAATTAAAAATTGAAAGGTCCATGATAATTGAGAAAAAGTTCAGTTTTTTCCCAACATTTTCCTTATTTCTGAGCAGCGCACAAAAATCAACACATCACATACACACACACGTGAAGAAATTTCTCACCTCATTACCCATGGACGAGCCATTTGCAAGTGGACCTTTCTGTCTAGATAAGCTTCGAGAATTCAAAAAGTCTCTGCCACGAGTAGCATCTTCAGAAGATCGATCCAATGCCTTCCCTTCACCACCTGCAATAAAAATTATCCTGAGCATATAGAATCGACCCATCTTACCGGGAAAATACAGTTCCATAATAGTGTAAATTCTTCTTGCAATGGAAATGGTTCACTCTGGACAAATAGTTAACTTGGTGAACAGATGGATGCACAGTGAATCTAGACTTACAATGCACTATAAAGAAACTTGATATGAAACGAACAAATGCCCAAGACCTACCTGATTGCCTGTCAATATTAGGACGAGGCATCCCTGAACTTGCTCCAGCAGCCCCCTGTCCCAACATAACCGTCATGTTTTGTCTATTGGGGTTAACAAAGGTAAGTCAAGAGTTTGGTGTTACGTACAAGGCCACGAGGAGGAGGATTGGCAAGTTGTGACTGCTGATATTTCAAAATGGTCCAGTCAAATACATGATCAAATTGAAAACCTGCAGGAAGGAGTAAGGTGTAAGCATGAATATACCGTAGAACAGACATCATTTAAATTAAGTAGTATATTGTGAGGCTAACAAAAATGCAAACACCTTCAGAAATAAAACGGTCACGGAAAATTCTCTTCAGATAAGCATAATCTGGTTTATCATCAAACCTAAGTGAACGACAGTAATGGAAGTACGAAGCGAACTCCGTAGGATAGCCCTGACACAAAGCCTAAAGAAAAAGTGAGCTTCAATGTCAGTCTTGTCATGGAATACGTACATGGCCAAAGCATGAGGGTGAAACGTTTTATTACCTCAATAGAGGTTGAAACTTTCTTCTCGCTAATTTTTTCATACTTCTGTTTCTTGTTTCCAGCTCTCAGCCCCTGCCATGGGAGACTACATATTTTGAAAGGAAGTAAGTAGCAATATTATAAGAACGACAGAGAAAAAACAAAACATGACAAATATACATATCGATACCTTCCTCTTAAGAAATACATGAGAACATATCCAAGTGATTCTAAATCATCTCTGCGACTTTGTTCTATTCAGTGGTAAATGTAGCAGAGCCACACCAGACATAAAATCAATAACTTATCAAATAAGTTCTATCAAATGTTCAAGGAAAAGCAAAATAATTCGTAAACATACCAATGCCAAGATGGGTGTTCATGCTTGCATATCTGGCTGTTCCAGTCAAATTTTTATTTTCTCTGCGTAGAATAATTAGCACATCAGGCCTTAAAATAGAGAAAATGCAGAATAATTACAGTTAAAGTTTTCAAAAACACGTAACACAACCATCAAGAGAGCTTACCTATATGGAATGTGTTGATTTGAGGAGTCTCTATACTTCTTGGCAAGTCCAAAATCAATAACATACACCTGTGTGTAAATGGACGAATCACCATAGATCATTAAAACAGGCAGTCATAATAAAAGTGAGGAAATCTTCAAAATATGAAAGAAAAACATGGGCACCTGATTTGCACGCCTTCCCAAGCCCATGAGAAAGTTGTCAGGCTTAATATCCCGATGCAGGAATGACTTAGAATGAACAAATTCGACCCGGTTAACCTGAAAATAAAAGAGATTGCCAGAAAAAAATTGAAGCATAAAAATGTCTTATATTCTTAACCAAACACAAAAGCAAAAGCAATATCCTACCATCTGATCTGCAAGCATTAGAACTGTCTTGAGAGAAAGCTTCCGACTACAGAAGTTAAACAAGTCTTCAAGACTAGGTCCCAATAAGTCCATCACAAGGGCATTATAGTCTCCCTCAACTCCAAACCAACTAACACTTGGAATTCCAGCTACCAAAATTGAAAAGTGTAACAATATCAAGCTAATTTACAATAATATCCAAAAAGAAACATGATGACCAGCAGTTTGAATAATGACAAAGATAATTACTTCCTCCTTGTAGTAATTTGTACAACTTTGACTCATAGAGTAACTGGGGATGCTTTGTCTTGACATTTTCCTGAGTTATGATTGAATAAAATTATAAGCAATTGACAATTTTTCTACTATAGAAAGTGAGCAAAAACTCAATTCTGTTTGATGAACTAGCAGAAAAGTGCATGTGTACAAACATAAAACAATATTATGAGCAGCAGCGTTGAAATCGAAGCAGTAAATATCATATGAACCAAATAAATAACTACAAACAAAAACCATGTCAAATATTTATATCTTGATTGACATTAACATTTAATGCATCTCATAATGTAAATTGATAAAAAGGATACCAATTTTATGTGCAAAAAAAATAGTAATACAACTGTATGGTTCTTTATCATAATTATAACTTCTCTCATCCTAATGTGCATTTGTTACAACCAATACCATGCACCTGAAAAGACCGAATTTCAAGATCCATCCTTGATAGAAGTTCAATATGAACCAAATTTCTCCTGTCCTGATTAAAAAATTATCTTAAATGATTCATGGTAAGTATTGTGAAAACAACCCTCCATGTTGATTTTGCCTCTCCACGGCCATGGGTTTTGTTGAAGATATGAAAAGACTAATCTCTATGATATTTTTAGTGTATGATTATTTTCCTTAATAGTTG